TGTGCGCTGCTTTTCGGTCTGGTTACTACCGTTTATGTCAGAACCGGTGCCATCATGGCACCGGACACCGGTACCCATCCCCACAGCCAACAGAGGGTGGAGTCATTACAGGTGCTCCACCCTTAGCAGCTGAACACTCAGGAACATCAAAGCAAACACAGCTTCAAAGCTTCAACACAAACACTCTACAGCTCAGAAGGCATGCTCAGTGGTGACATCGGCAGTGACATCATCACCATCTTTATCCAGTCCCAGGCCTCCTCTATCACGCTGGCTCATCTCTATGGAGACGGCTGGTTTATTCGTTGTCTTCCTGCTCCAGCAGATGAACAGCAGCAGACCAGTGGAGATGAAGTACGGACAGAAGACCACTAGATGGCAGACGAGTCTGAGCACAGACTCACAGGGAAGAGGAGGAGGACCTAAAAGAGGGCACAGAGGAGGACTCAGGCAGTGTTCTTGTACTCCAAGTACTGCATACAGTAGTTTCAGTGGTGTACGTGTGGCCTTCTGTCTGGTGGAAAGGTTACAGGTTTTAGCTGGTGAGGTGAGAGGTGAAACAAAGTGCAATGGAGGCCATCACATACACACACAGTAGTAAACTCATTTTGTAGGTGAAGAGTTCAGACTTATTTTGCTGTAACTGCATGTTGTGCCTGTATACGTGACAGTTTGTTGCAGAACTGAGCTTGATGTTCCAGAAGATAAGCCCGGGCAGGACGAGTGACAGGATGCACCTGCCGTGAAGACGAAGACAATGTTCTTTTCAAATTATGTTAAAAGTCATTGTGGTTTTGATTTGACGTATGCATGTATTGTATCTGCTTAATGCATGAAGGGGCGTTGTATTACCCCAACCCTATAAAACCTTTGGTTTGAGTATTGTTTGACAGATCAACACTGATTCTGCCTTTGTTCATCTCACACGCGTGTGGTCATTAAAATCAATTGTTTGACCAAGCTCTTCTGGACCAAGGTTGTTTTTACTCTCGGCCTCAATATTGAACCCCTAACAGGGGTCATTGTTGAGGTGTTAATATATTGTGAAATGGAAAACCAAGCCATGATAAACATTCCCATGATCTGCTGCACTTTATTTATTATGTCAATGTTTTCATAAAATCTTAGCTGGACCATCACTTTGAATTATATTGTTTTCTCTTCCTCAGTACAGGTCTGATTATGTCTCCTACACAGACCCTTGCAGGTCACACAGTTAGAATGCATCCCTAATGATGTAGAAGAAGCTGACGAGGCTGGGTCACAAAGACCATGACAAAGGTCACTTGACAACACTTGAACAGCTCCATCAGCCCAGAGCTCCTGTTAACTCTGTGAATGCAAACAGAGCAAACACCTGGAGAAGGTCCATGCCTAATGGAGTGCTCCCATTGGTTCCTCCTCTCAGGAACACTTTAGCTTAATTCCTTCATTCATACTTCACTTCCTGTTTGTTTTTACCTTTAACTCACCTGCAGAAACAGTCAGAGCAGACAGCAGCAGCACACACACACCTGTAACAGGAGGACAGAGGTCACTGAGGGTCACTAAAGGTCAGAGGTCATCATGAGGACAGACAGGTGTAGGAACATCAGCTCACCTGCAGCAGTCAGCAGAAACAGGCCTGAAACTAAAGAACACACTGATCAGAGATCAAATGGTCACATGACCGAAGAGAAGCATTCAGACTGCAGTGATTGGTTGCCGTTCCCACAATAATTCACAACGCCATCCAGTGGTGGAAACACAGATAATATCTTGATGCATGCTCAATCATCCAGGTAAGTAAATGCCAAAAAGTTGATTCTTTTCATCCTGACGTTTTCAGTGGGAGAAACGTTTCGTCACTCATCCAGGTGACTCCTTCAGTCTCAACTAACTGCAGGTTTCCCTCATAATCAGTACATCTGCATAATAACTGAAATTGCACCACTAAATGAACAATGGGCTGGAAGGTCAGTTTATCATCATTAATATGCAAATTATCATCACCATTGTGTAACAACGACTGACCAAAGACCACTGATCAAAAATCATTGAATGTTGATCATTTGTCAAAGCTGCAAATGCACCTAAAGAAAGCTCCAGTGATCCAGGAGAGAAGTGTAATAATAGTTGCTAGTGAGAAATCAATAACACAAAGAAGGCGTGAGCGAGCGCAAGAGAAAATAAACAGCTAGTTAAAGCTAGCACAATGTGCCATTCATGATGTTTTATTCAGAGGAATAAGAACATTACAAGAAGGGCAACCACTGCCTAAGCAAAAACCCGTAACAATCCTGTATGTGTCACTTGTAGTACTTTGTAGTAAAACATGAGTATGAACTTATACAAAATTCAATTCAATTTTATTTATATAGCGCCAAATCACAACAAACGTCGCCTCAAGGCGCTTCATCGGTATAGAGAAAAACCCAACAATCATTTCACCCCCTATGAACAAGCACTTTGGTGATAGTAGGAAGGAAAAACTCCCTTTTAACAGGAAGAAACCTCCGGCAGAACCAGGCTCAGGGAGGGGCGGTGCCATCTGCTGTGACCGGTTGGGCTGAGAGAAAGAAGACAGGATAAAGACAATGTATAAATACTGGCATTCCTCCTGGCACTTAACAGTGTACACTATATTACTCTGTTTGTGTTGGGAAAGGAAAAACTCAATGCATCATGGGAATCCCCGGCAGCCTACGTCTATTGCAGCATAACTAAGGGAGGATTCAGGGTCACCTGGTCCAGCCCTAACTATATGCTTTAGCAAAAAGGAAAGTTTGAAGCCTAATCTTAAAAGTAGAGATAGTGTCTGTCTCTCGAATGCTCTGCCTCCCATTCTACTTTTAAATACTCTAGGAACAACAAGTAGGCCTGCAGAGCGAGAGCGAAGTGCTCTAATAGGGTGATATGGTACTACAAGGTCATTAAGATAAGATGGGGCCTGATCATTTAAGACCTTGTATGTGAGGAGCAGGATTTTGAATTCTGGATTTAACAGGAAGCCAAAACAGGAGAAATATGCTCTCTCTTTCTAGTCCCTGTCAGGACTCTTGCTGCAGCATTTTGGATCAGCTGAAGGCTTTTCAGCGAGTTTTTTGGACATCCTGATAATAATGAATTACAGTCGTCCAGCCTGGAAGTAATAAATGCATGAACTAGTTTTTTAGCGTCACTAAGAGACACACCTCACAGCGTTACTAATAACTAATTGCTGTGTGTTTTATCTGGCTTCATGGACAGATAGAGCTGCGTGTCATCTGCATAGCCATGTAAATGTATGCTATGTCTTCTAATGATGCTGCCTAAGGGAAGCATGTATAATGTAAACAGAATTGGTCCTTGCACCGAACCCTGTGGAACACCATAATTGACCTTATTGTGTGAAATGAAGTTTTATTGATTATAAGATACACTATATATCGGTTTCATGTCGGTATCGGCAGATATCAAAATTTATGATATTGTATCTGACAAAAAAAGTGGTATCGTGCCATCTCTAGTATTTAGTAGCCAAAAACTGATCCACCCAAAGGATCGGGTCCCCCGACACAAACAGAGTAATATAGTGTACACTGTTAAGTGCCAGGAGGAATGCCAGTATTTATACATTGTATTTATCCTGTCTTCTTTCTCTCACCCCAACCAGTCGCAGCAGATGGCCCCGCCCCTCTCTGAGCCTGGTTCTGCCGGAGGTTTCAACCTGTTAAAATCGAAGTTTTGTGTTCTGGGGGCCTCTGGATGTCTGGAGTTTTGATCTCCTCCATACCTGCTTGATACCATAGAGGACAGGGCTGTGGCCCCCCCACACTCTCTAGCAGATCATTACATGGAGAAACCTTTGGAATGCAAGCATGCTGATCCACACAGGTATGCACACATGGGTATTCACAGACGCGGACTAAAGCTTTCTTGGCTGCTGCCTCAAAGCACATTGTGCGCTGTCTATCTTGCGTGCTGCACAATATCGTTTATTATTTAGTAACTATTGATATCTATGACTAGCTAGTTTATTGTGATGGTGCTTTTTTTTTATTTTATTATTATGTTGCTCTTTGTTGTTTGCTGTCTCCTCTGTTTTTTTTCTTTTTTCTTTCTCTCCATACAGGTGACCCAGGAGTTTTTTTTTTTTTTTTCTCTTCCCCCCCTTCTCACCGTCTCTTCTCCCCTTTGGTTTTCTTTCTTCCTCTCCCCCTCTTTCTTTCATTCTTTCCCCCTGTCCTATTAAAAAAAAAAAAAAAAAAAAAGAATGACAAAGGATGAACTGAAGCTCCGCCATCACGTGATGTCACATGCTGCTGTTTCTGATGTCACTTAAAAGAAAAAAAAAAAAATCGAAGTTTTTCCTTCCCACTTTTGCCAAAGTGCTTGCTCATAGGGGGTCATATGATTGTTGGGTTTTTCTCTGTATCTATTATTGTAGGGTCTACCTTACAATATAAAGTGCCTTGAGGCGACTGTTGTTGTAATTTGGTGCTATATGAATAAAATTGAATTGAATACATTGCAGAAACCAAAACAACCTCTGAATAAGAGGATGGCACAACACAGAAGAGCCACCTCGTCAGGCCAGGACTCTGCAGTCTATTCACACCTACAGGCCAGTGGACACTCTTTCAATGATGAGGATGTAACATCCTGGACAGGGAGGAACGCTGGTTTGAGTGTGGAGTCAAGGAGGCCATTTACATTAAAAGGGAAAGACCATCTCTGAAACGAGGAGGGGCCTAAGGGTACATCTTTCGCCATCTTACAATGCTGTGATTGCAGCCATTCCCCAACTCTCTGTGAATGGTATTCATGATTATTGATCAACGGGCTTTGATCAGAGACCATGACTGATGAAACATTTCTCCCCCTGAAAACGCTACATCCAGATGAACAGAATCAATAATAATTTTGGAGAAATGTTTAAAGAGAAGATTGGAAGTAATATGAAGGAGACTCACAGCAGAGGCAGATGATCCATCTCAGACACTTCTCTGCAGGTTCTTCACAGTTGTGACCTCCATAACACCACAGTCCGCTCGTCTCACCCTGGCTAGGTATCGAGCTGGTGGGTAACAGGCGTCTTTGAAAACGTCGGAGCACTATTGTAAATATGTGATATCTTAATAAACTGAGCAGATATTTGAAGTTTACACAGCTACATTCTCACCTGAAAATATCTTAAAAGTTTATTTTGTGACCCAGAAAGAAATAAAAGTTATATTAAAATGAAGTAGCTGCCGCTATTGTTGGAAACTGGAATTTCCTGGCCGCGCTATGAATTATGGGATATTGTGGGGCACGAAGGATACACCCAACCAATCCTTCAAATCTGGGGAAAAGGAGGACACATTTGTTGGGCACATTTGGAGCAGCCTTCAAATTTGGACAGCTTTCGTCACATTGCTGTAACGTAATTGACTAAAAATGCGTTATCTTAAGGATGCTACCCCTAAATTTGGGCATAGCTACAGATTCTTAGGATCCAGTTTAAAGTTTTACAGGTTCAATGTGAAGCTGTTCATTAGAAACAAACAGCAGCAGTACTGAGCTCAGACATTCACTGCTGTTCAGCTCTTTATTTTGCAGCTCTGTCACACATCACCAGTTTAACCAGTTTCTGCACCTTTGATCTCAGTTGACTTTATAAGAATGTGACATTTTTCTGGTTAATATTATTATGTTCTTTATATACAGCACTTCACACCTCCAGACTCACTAACAGCTTCTCACCCTGGGCAGTTCAGACTGTTATCCTCCTGCCCACCCACCTATCTGAGCCGTGGTCTGACTAACCCTCATCACTCAGGCCACTCATGCATGGACCTTATTCAGACCAAGTCCTTTTAAACTGTCTCAAAGAAACAGTCCTCCATTGTGTACCTTTCTTTGTTTTTGTATATATCACTCTAGTATTTATTTCTTTTGTTTATTTTTTCTATTTTTACAATGACAATTAAATGCTACTCTATTATATTCTATATTTTTGATCACTATCTGATAATTTCTCTGTTATAAGTGACCCCTATAGGGATCATTTTTATTTTGAAGAACAATCATGTGATCCATGAAATGCCCCTTTTTGATTGATCAGATTCTCAAGCCCCGCCCCTTTCCTGTGAATTTGTAGGTTAAACCCCAAGCTAACTTAGCGAGCTGATAACCAGCTTTGTGTGACTGCTTATTATGATCAGCAATGTTGGGATAAGTGATTCCAGATAATACACTGAACAAAAATATAAACGCAACACCTTTGTTACTGCTCCCATTCCCCATGGGATGGACGTAGAGACCTAAAATTCATTCCAGATACACAATATAACCATCCCTCCCAAACAGTGGTCACAAATCAGTCCAAATGTGTGGTAGTGGGCACATCTGCCATATTGAGATAATCCATCCCACCTCACAGGCGTGCCACATCAGGATGCTGATCTGACATCATGAGTAGTGCACAGGTGTACCTCAGACAGCCCACAACAAAAGGCCACCCTGGAATGTGCAGTTTTTTGCGCTATGGGGGTCTGGGGACCCAGAACCGGTCAGTATCTGGTGTGACCACCATTTGCCTCATGCAGTGCAACACATCGTCGCATGGAGTCTATCAGATTGTCAATTGTGGCCTGTGGAATGTTGGTCCACTCCACTTCAATGGCTGTGCGAGGTTGTTGGATATTCGTGGGAACTGGTACACGCTGTCGTATACGCCGGTCAAGCACATCCCGAACATGCTCAATGGGTGACATGTCCGGTGAGTATGCTGGCCATGCAAGAACTGGGACATTCTCAGCTGCCATCTGCCCTGAACAATGTGAACCATGATTCATCCGTGAAGCGCACACCTCTCCAACGTGCCAGACGCCATCGAATGTGAGCATTTGCCCACACAAGTCTGTTACGGCGACGAGCTGGAGTCAGGTCAAGACCCCGATGAGGATGACGGGCATGCAGTTGAGCTTCCCTGAGACGGTTTCTGACAGTTTGTGCAGAAATTGTTTGGTTGTGCAAACCAATTGTTCCAGCAGCTGTCTGGGTGGCTGGTCTCAGACGATCTTGGAGGTGAACCTGCTGGATGTGGAGGTCCTGGGCTGGTGTGGTTACACGAGGTCTGCGGTTGTGAGGCCGGTTGGATGTGCTGCCATATTCTCTGAAACGCCTGTGGAGACGGCTTATGGTTGAGAAATGAACATTCAATGCACGGGCGACAGATCTGGTTGACATTCCTGCTGTCAGCATGCCAATTGCACGCTCCCTCATTGCTTGTGGCATCTGTGGCATTTTGCTGTGAGACAAAACTGCACATTCCAGGGTGGCCTTTTGTTGTGGGCAGTCTGAGGTACACCTGTGCACTACTCATGATGTCAGATCAGCATCCTGATGTGGCACACCTGTGAGGTGGGATGGATTATCTCAATATGGCAGATGTGCCCACTACCACACATTTGGACTGATTTGTGACCACTGTTTGGGAGGGATGGTTATATTGTGTATCTGGAATGAATTTTAGGTCTCTACGTCCATCCCATGGGGAATGGGAGCAGTAACAAAGGTGTTGCGTTTATATTTTTGTTGAGTGTAGAAAGATACCTTTGGTATGTTTAACTTGTTTCTTTTTAGAGGAACAGAACTCCTGTTTAATTGTTCCTCTTTCTCCTCATCATTTTGCATCATGTAAGAAAAATTTATTTTATTTTCTATGAACAATGTTATTTACAAAGGTATTAAAAACAGATCAGACAAACTGACATGATTAAAATAAAACAACACAAAACACAGAAAATTAAACAAATGTCTGTCTGACCAGATCTGTTTTCAGCTGAACATATAAGTGCTCGTATGAAATGAAGTAAAATTAATTATTTATTTCAGAAGGTCCAATGGGAAACTTAATTCATGGGTGAGTCTAAACACCCTATGGCTAATAACTGTAGTAATCAGATTACAACTGTTCATATCAGATGAGTGAAAGCTTTCATACCTTTAAGTTTACTGCAGAGGAACAGAAACAAAACCAGAACCAGAATCAGGAGAAGCCCAGAGACCAGACCTGCTACAACCGGGACCAGGAGAGAGGGAGGAGGAGAGGGAGGAGGAGAGGGAGGACACGTAAGAGCAGTTTCTACAGGACGATGAACGTTTGTGGAGGTGCTTGGAGGAGGACAGTGAGGAGGAGGAGGACAGTGAGGAGGAGGAGGACAGTGAGGGGGAGGAGGATGGATGATTTTGGGAGGATCTGGAGGAGAGATGATGAAGATGGTTCAGTCAGTTTATTATCAGGTCACAATGTTATCAGCTTTTAAACAGGAAGTGATGTCAGTGTTCTGACCTCTGACCCTCAGAGAGCTCTGAGGAGAGTTTGCACCCTGATCAGTAGAACACCAGTAGAGACCTTCATCAGCCTGTATGATGTTAGTGATGATGTGCTTTGGTTCAAGAACATGACGACTTCCTTTGATGAAGAAATAAGCTTCGACCGTGTCACCCTTCCTCAGTCTGCAGCGCAGAATGACATCACCTCCTGTCCTCACAGGAAGTGCAGGGATCTCCAGGATGACAGCTTTATCTGACCATCAGAGACAAACAGAGTTAATGAGAGCAGAGTCACACAGAGACAGAGACACAGCTGGAACGTCTCACCTTTAGTGTCTGATTGGACACTGAGGGACACGTTGTCACTCTGCTGTCCAGAGGAGTCCTCACACCAGAAGGTTTCACTGGGAGGACAAACAGCCACAACACAGTAGGAACCAAGAAGCCTCCCAAAGCCTCCACAGTCCTCAGTGAGTCCTCCTCTGCTCCTCTTCACTGTCCATCCATCAGCTGTCTGTCCATCATCAACACAACTCAGATACACTGAAGAAGATCCTCTGAAGACCTGCTGAAGGTTTGGACTGACAGACAGAGACACTGGAGGACACACACACAGACACACACACACACACACACACACACACACACACACACACACACACACACACACACACACACACACACACACACACACACACACACACACACAGTAAGTGTATTTGTGTTCTTGTTGGAGTCTCACTGATGGTTTTCACTTCATCTACTCACCTGCAGAAACAGTCGGTGCAGACAGCAGCACACACACACCTGCAACAGGAGGACAGAGGTCACTAAAGGTCAGTGGCTTCACCACCATGTGTACCTGCACAGGTGAGGAGCATTTTCCTCTCTGTGAACAGGACCAAACAGATAAGCAGATGTTTGTGACAGTCACACTGAGGGGACTGCAGTCATTACAAAATCACATTAAAGTTAGAACAGTTATGAGGGAGGTGAGTGTGAGCAGAGAGGTGGCATTAGACACCAGAGTCTTGGAGGAAAAAGTGAATGTTAGCTCCGAATTGAACATGTTTTAACACTCAGATTAGACCACAAAATCTGATAGGCACCTAAATACATCTGCATAATCCTTCCCAACACCGTGGAGGACAGCAGGGAGAATTTAGATGCTCTCCAACATTAGATTAGATAAAACCATGACAAGCGCCGTTCCTTCGCTTGACCCCAGTTGCTCTCGTCTGCTTCCTCGTAACACTGCTCTTTATTGAGGTTACATGAATATGCATAGGTTCATTAACATAGGATATCTTATATAGATATACATGTGAACAAAGAGTACCGTCTGTGTATGTGTGTGTGCGTGTGTGTGTGGGGTGAAGCTGTGACCCCATAAATGACTTCCCAAAATCTGCTGGCCTGGAAGTCGAGCAGGTCATCTAAACAAAAGGCACTTAGAGTAAAACAGACATAGATACGTTTATCCTACCATAAAACAAAGAGCAGGTACGACCTCTCCCTGCTCCCAGGATGTGGGTGTGAAAGCCAGAACACTCTGGAATGCAAACAAAGTCGTTGCAGACTCCTAAGGATCACACATCCTATCACTACACAATTGATTATACACCTCTAAGCATATATGGATAAATATTTCCCAATACAAATGACAATAATAAAATATAAATCCAACAATAGGAACAATCAGGGAAGTGCAGATTTCAACTATTCTGAGTCTATTGCACCGCTGAATATAGAATAAAAATTGCACAGTGAAAAGTGCACTACAGCTTAGTTGTTCCCCCTCCTTTGTCCTCCTGTTTCCCCTCCAGAGAGGAGTTAAACAGTCTGATGGCGTGTGGGACAAAGGACTTTTTAAGTCTGCTGGTTCTTGACTTTGAGAGAAGCAACCTGTCACTGAACAGACTCTTCTGGTGTTTTATGGCCGTGTGCAGACGATGCCCAGCATTGTCCATAATGTCCAACAGTTTCTTTAGGACAAAAAAAGACCCTGTGATAGGCCATTAGACTGGATGTAGACCGGTGTATTGGTATACAATATACACAGAATAATAGTAGCTTTATTATTCTGTGTATATTTATGTGATTTTAATGCTGATCTCACAGACACCAGTTCTCAGTTTGCTAACCACTTAGCCCACTTTGTGAAGATAATAATCTTATCCTGTCTACCAAAGTGTTATTGCCTGCAGACAGCTATACATACATAAGTGAAGCCTGGCATAGTACATCATGGTTGGACCACTGTATCTGTACAGCTGAGGGACATGCAGCTTTAGCTAACATGACTATTAGGTATGAGGTAACTGTGTCAGATCATATACCTTTTGGTTTTACTGTGAATGTGGAACAAATGCCAGCAACTACTGGAAACAATATTGCTAATATTGCTACCAGTGTAAAATTAGACTGGTCAGCATTTAGTGAAGGGGACGTCTTAGCTTATCATAGTAATACCGATATATGTCTGAACAACATTTCTTTGCCCAAAGAAGCTGGACAAGGATGTCAACTGTAAGAATGCTGTGCATAAACATGAACTCTGCTCCATGTATGATGATATAGTGACTGCTCTGCATGAATGTGGTACACTGTTTGATAAACAATATAAGCTTAAGAAACCTAACATTAGACCTGGAAAGAACATGTAGCCATGTACCTTGATGAAGCTTGTGTAGCTTATAAATGTTGGGCCATGGCTGGAAGACCTAAACAAGGCCCAGAATTTGAACAGAAAAAATGTGCGAATGTCAGATATAAATGTGCTGTTCGCTTCATAACTCAAAATGAGCTGAGAGCAGATTCTTTGGCTACTCGTTGCTGGAACGTTGAGCCACCAGCGTCAGTTATTCTGTGATCTGCAAGTTTGAGACTATTAGTCTTCGTGCGACCTTGTACTAAATGGATTTTTCTGTGTTTGTAGATCTTCCCTGGACCCGTCCCTGTATCGTTGAGTGAGCGAGTGAGCAAGAGGAGCGTTGGAGGAAAAGGAAGGGGATCGTTGCTGAGAGAGTGGAGTGTGTTTTCGGACCCTTCCCCTCCCCCTCGGACCCTGGAGCCATGGACCCCTCTCCCAAACACTTTGTATATATTATCACCTGGAGAAATCACTGTAAATAAACGCACTGTCAGTTTTTGTAAAGGTCTCCTGGTCTGCGCCTGAGTCCGCCTACAAAACCCTGTCAGGAGAGCATTACAGTGCATCGTTTAACTGTATAAAAAGTGAATCATATAAGAACAATTCTGACATGAGTAATGACACAATAAGTGTAAGGACACATGAAGTATATTGTCATGGTGCTGGGCCATTGACCCAGCGTTTTGTGTTTTATGATTATTTTCCTCTGTTCTAGTTATTCTGATTTTGGTATTCTGTGTCCTCCCCTTGTGCCCTGTTCGTGTTCTGGGTTTCCTGTTTTATTCTGAAGGTCTCCGTCTGTTGTCATTGTGTTCAGCTTGTATCCTCAGGTCGTCTTGTGTATTAGAATCAGCTGTGCTTCCACCTGTATGTCATTACCTGGTCTCCTTGTTTGTGTGTGTATATATAGTGGGTGTCGGTCTGTGCTTGTTGTCGGCTCGTCTGTGTTCCAAGGTGTTTTGTTCCTCTCTCTGCCCTCACCCTATTTCGTATGTTCTCAGGTTTGTTATTTAGTTTTCCCAGTTTAGGTTTCTTTAGTCATTTGTCATTCCTCACTTACGGTGGCTGGGAAGTGCAAATCGCAACAAATTAAAAAACCCCACAACAAATTAAAAATCCTTGACGGAAAGGGATTGTCTGAAATACCGGAAGTGACACAAGCGTGATGTCACGAGAGGGGGCGTGGCCAGGATTTTGGTTGGTTGGTTTAGGATTTTGTTGTGGGCTTTTTGTATTTTGTTGCGGTTTTTTAATTTGTTGCGATTTGCACTTCCCAGCCACCGTACTCACTGCCTGTTCTGTAACTCCATCACTTGGAAATAAACGTCACTTGCATCATCAATCTACTGCCTGCATTTTGGGTCCTCTTTCCCTCCAACACCACACGGCTCGCCTCGGCAGCCGTGACATATATGAATTCATTCATAGTTATCTGATAATAAAGCTTCAGGGTTGGATCACATTTAAAACAGTTTAAGTTTAAGGCTAGTTCCTCTTCTAGCACTCTGCTTCACTGGGTTTATGATTCATGGAAGACTACCAGACTCAATGCTGTGTATTTTACTGGTACCAGTTATGAAGGACAAAGCTGCGAAAGTGAGCTGTCTGGATAATAAGAAGAAATGGAAAAGAAAGGAATTGTCATGGTCTGCAGTGGGTGGCTGGAATTTCCATAAGGCTCCTGAACTTACCTGGGATCCGCCCCTGGGCAGGGCCAACTCCAGCTCCTGCACACCTGGAGCCTATTGCAGGCAATCAAGCCAGAGGGATTTAAACCACACGTTGATGTTCATTCACTGCCAGTTCGTCATCAACACATGTTGGTAACAGGCCTTATACTTCAAGTTCTTGCTGTGATCTATCTTGTTAACACGACTCTCTTGTGCTGCAGTTGCTGGATTCACCTTGGCTCACGCTCCACCTCCGGACTCAGGATACCAAGCAATCATTCTGAAAATCTCTCTGTGCCTCACCTGCCTGCCCTCCTGCCATCACACTCCATCTGAAGCCCTGGATCTCAGGCCAGCCTTTCCACGCCACTCAGCCTCCCCTGGATTCTCATCACCCCCCTCTCAACACTCCATGTCCCCTACTGCAAGTAAGAATTGCTGCTCTTACAACTGGCCACTTCAGAGCTGCCTCCACCACCTCCTAACTCTATCTTCTCCCTTCAGTGTGACTGTTCCCTGCTCAGCTCCACTCCGCATCTCAGGCCTCATTCCCTCGCCCTAGCCACGTTCCCCAGGCCACGCCTCATCCAAACTCCACGTCTTATTGTTTTTTTGTCTTTGCTACGTTTTCTTTTTTGAACTTAAGCCTAATAAATTGTTATATCATCAGCTGTCTCCGCTCTGGGTTTCTGCACCTGAGTCCTGTTCAGTACAGGCTGCCCAGCCCCGTGACAGGAATTAAAAGGGAATAAAAAAAACTCTCATGGCAGCCCAAGGTGCA